TTGGCGTTGAGAGAGTAAATACTTGACGTACTTGCCAGGGATGAAAAGGTACATTAAAGGTACATAAGGTACAGTCAGTAGATTTTAGGTACAATTATTATTATTGACCCATATTCGCTTTTTGATTTCTGGAAATATATTTAAAATGCTTTTGAAGTTACTTACGGCAATTTTATTATTTTCTCTAGACTTGTTGCACCTATTAAAAGGAATCGGATAAATTAGCAGACTTTTCGTGTTGTTGCTGGATAAAGAAGTATACTTCGCAAATTGTGTTTTTTACCTTTTTCGCCAATATTTTTCAGTAGTCAAAATTAGACAAAAACAAAGCTTCTCCGATTCCCATTAGACTATAGTCTATAGATTTAGGCTCAATTAAAAAAAACCTAATCATGTTTAAAGTACATCCATCCTTTTTTTCATGTTTTAAATAAAATTTATAAACAAACTACAAATAATGGTACAATCTGTCTCATTTATGTACATTTAGGTACATATTAGGTACAATCTGAAATTTCAATTTTTCATCCCTGGTACTTGCTATTACTCCAAGAATGATAGAATACAAGATTGCGCCAATCGAGCTGAGAGCAACTGGCCGTGACGTCAAAAAATACCAGAATGAGAGAGCAAAGACGAATTCAATAAGAAAAAGAAGAAGAATCGAACAGCTGGGGCGAAATTGAAAGGTTTGTTTACAAAGTGCATAATAAATCGCGGATTTACGGAATTATTTAATTTTAAATGGTAAATTGGTTGTTTAAAAGTAAAGAATGTGTACTTATTAAATGCAATGCAAATCGCTGAAAGTGTTAAATCACTGCATCATTATAATGATTTGCATTTTTTCAGTAATTGAACAAATACCAGCGGGCAGCCAGCGGGTCAGTTGCTGGTAACAATTTGCAGAACGATTCCACGGTGATCGTTGCATCGTCGTCAGTTAGTGAAATCAGTAATCAAGCTTTTAAAATAAAGGAAAACCTCCTACTCCGCTATACATATAATTACTTTCATTATTTAGCTACCATTCCGGCAGCCGCAACAAACGCTGGCCCAAGCCTGCAAATTGTTGCCAGCAACTGGAACGCTGGCTGCCCACTGGCATTTGTTCAACTACTTAAAAATTCACTTTGTAAACAAACCTTCACACACATCAAACCACATCAAGCGGCTCATCTGGATGAAATGAAAGGGCTGTTAGATGTAATGCAGCAACGTGCTCCCGATGTTGAACATCAGTTCAAAGAAAAGCCAAATGAGTTGGAAATGTCGGATAAGGCCAATGTAAACCAAGGCGGCAATCGTATAGAGACCTTGACGTAGACGCAATTTATGTACGAGGAACAGATTAGAGACTTACAAGTAAGTTAGAAGTAGAAGTGCATTTGAAGAAGTTTACATTATTATGTTTACGCATTTCTTACAGTCCATGGTGCAGGAATTTATGATGGTCACAAAATATATTGGCAAAAACATAGCAAGTGCATATGCCAAGTTGGAAAAATTGACAATGCGTGAGTATAAAATGAAAAGGTGTTCTTAATTATAAATATTACTTTACCTTTTCTTTTGCAGTGCCCGAAAAGAAGAGTCTTTTTGATGATCGACCGCAAGAGATTCATGAATTG